CATGTTTTTGTAATCTGCTAGTATATGGGTCCATCAAGCGTTATATAAATGACACTAAACAACAACAATTCTGAATTCCTTCTCCATATGACAAATACCAAATATATCCGATACGCTTGCAATTTTCATACATTGTTGTTGTTGTTTCTTTTGTCTTTATAAGCGACTTTTTAAAAAACTGATGCTGTATTGTCAGCTGTATTTCAATCTTCATAATTCAGGCTCTTATCATAAACAGTTATCAAGTTTAAAAAAATAAACTTTTATAATGCTTCAAAGAGCTCTAGTATTGCGGTCATAAAGCCTAAAACAAACAAAAAATGACATTTTAACATAGATCAAGCGAAACAGTCATATAATGGAGAAAAAAAATCTCAAACAAAAAGGAATGAAGTATTATCAAATATACTTAGAATAAAATTGAAAATCGATAACAAACTCAATTTAAGTGAAAAGCGTTGCAACTCTTTCATTCTCGATAAAAAAAACAATCATGCTCACGGTGTGGGAATCTGAGAATTTTCACACAATATATTTGTTCAGACCTTTATCAGATCTGTACACAAATCCCCAGTCCCATCATGTCAAATATAACCTCAATGAAGTCGCTTTAATATTCTGTCATTGTAAACTTTTTTCTTTTAAGAATCCAAGTGACAATAATGTAGCGGCCATCAACCTCCTACACAGTGGTCCCCCTTTGCTTCGCTGCACAGGCAAAGCCAATCAAATCACTGTGAGGAGTTTGAGCTGCCATATGAATCTTGAGACAATATATTGCATTATGAAGAATTTATTCTTAATTTGGACTTTGAATACGTATGAATGCGTCCCGTTTCAAACGAAATGAGTCGATAAAATCGCAGGTTTGTCAATCTATACATTGAATTCGCTGGAGTCATTTCTTTCCCGCAAATTAGTACATGAAAATATGTTAAAACTTCTTGATTCATAAGAAAGGCGACTGTAATCCTCATTTGATGATTTTTCATTTGATAATTGATTTTTGTATACTTTTCAAACAAATAATGGAATAGCAAATCTTCTGAATGCCTAATCCTTAACCATTTTCTGTAATACATGTACATTTATTGTACTTTGATATATTTACTTAGTAATATTAATTTGTTCAGTACTGATTGTCATGGAAACAGATTTTACAATCACATAGTTTTATGGTTGTCAAACATTTGATTTGCATCGTTGATAACAAAGTAAATATCGCTACTATATAGTCATTAAAAAAAGGAATAATCGGGGGACAGATGTCGTCTTCTATAATAGTGTCCAGTACTTGTTTCTCATTCTCTAAAAAAATGTGTAATCTTTACTTAACAATTTTGTAATTACCTTGGACGGCTAAAGAAAGTATCTTTTTTATTTTATAATGAAAAACTTAACTACTAAGACAGCAAATGTCTTTTTTATGAGATATTGTCAATAATAATGAATGGGTTGTAGAGTTTTAATTTAGCAAACATATGTTATTGTTTTTTATGTTTGTTACTTACATATACTCGTATTTTCATTTCACGGAGGAAAGATATAAAAATGAAAGCTTTATACACGCACGTAAATTAAGCACTTGGGTAGTGAAAAATATATCACCTAAAAGTATAGTAGATAATGGTTGGATAATACTATACATATACATGTGTAGGGTTAAGTGTCAACGGTTTTAGCGTAATTTAGAAATGTCATTTTACCAGGTCCTTATATACATTACTTCATTAAGCTTAGTAGAAAAACAAATGATGAATAGTATACACATAAAACTTGATTAAAAGCTTAAATTACTCAAAAAACAAATTTTCTTTTCATACACCTAGAAGTGTAAATACAGTGTACTGAAGATGTAAATATGATGTCATAAGCGACATTCTAATTTATAGAACTAAGATAAACACGGATAATATATAGACAGTAAATGCTGTAGATAGGTTGATTTCCGGTGCACGAGAATTAGGTGTGTATATATCAGAGTTACATCTGGTCGTGTCACAGCACTTGTTACATTCGGTGATGGAATTGCCCCCGTCCATGCAATAATAACTTGTGTAGTCGAACGTGCACGACTGACTAGAACATGATCGGGAATAGGTCTCGGTCGAGTTGACAATTGTAACTTTAGTCTGAAATATAACATCAAAACCATCTAAAAACATGTATTATAACAACCTACATTGTACATGTTATTAAAAAAGAAACAGAAAATAAAAAGATTTTTAAAAAAAATCAGAGAATTTCAAACATAACTTGTTTCAGTGCAAAAAGAATAGATCATCAGCTAATCAGTATACATGTATGTAAATTGAACAAAAGTTTCCATTAAAGTAAATTGGTCTTTTATGGAAGGTATGTAATACAATAAATTATTACGTTGACAGAGTTTAGTATCAGTTATAACAACAAACGACATAAATCTATAATACATGTACATATACTAAAATTTTCTTTCCTTGCATTTCGACGAAAGCACTTTGCAATACATAGTTTTATATCGCTTACACTTGTGAATTGTTTTAAAAGCAAACACACAAAAACAAACAACATACAGAAAAACAACAATTTTAGCAAAGACTCATTAAATATAGCATTTGAAGGTAATTATTGGAAAAGAAATTGATTTGTTTTACCCAACACGTTTCTCCTGTAGAGCAGATATTAACCGTGTCAGTGCTGGAGCGTTGTCCACAGACATCGTTACTTCCGTCACACGTATAGCACGATATGGGTCCGACCTATAAATTATAATTGAGTCGTGCCACGACAAAACCAACGTAATGCGTTTGCGACCAGCATGGATCTAGACCAGCCTGCGCATGCGCGCAGTCCGATCAGGATCCATGCTGTTCTCTATCAGTTTCTCTACTTGTAATAGGGTTTGTAAGCGAACAGCATGGATCCTGATCAGACTGCGCGGATGCGCAGGCTGGTCTGGATCCATGCTGGTCGCAAACCCACTATGTTGGTTTTGTCATGACGCGGTTCATATAAAGAAACTCTCAAATCTACTACTAAAATACAACCGTGTCTTAAATCGGCAGTTTTACAAGTAAAGTTCTGTTATTTTTGGTATGGTCATTAAAACTAATAACTGTATATTTATCTTTAAAAAAACGCTCTAAAGACAAAAGGAATATCACATATTTATGTTTGATATTTGAATTGACAAAAAGACAGAACGCTTATATTAATATTTAAAATTTCTCCTGCCTTTAATTGTTCGCGATGATCTAGACAATCACAAATGGTGCATGCAACAATAAACACAAATTCCCTCATCTCATTTGACATTAAAAATCTGGAAAAGGTAGATACCTCCACATTAAAGAAGGAAAAAAAGTCGAGTCTGTTCAAAAGAGAAAGTGGATAGTGCAAACATCTGTAGCCCTCTCCCCGACCCACCCCACCTTCACCGCCAACACCGGCTTAAGGGGCATTCAATCCGGAACACTAGTCTTATTGTTTAAGAATCAAAGATTCCCAATAACTAGAAAAAGTAAGCCTTTTTATGACATGTATTAGGATTCGTGTTAAAACAAAAACAACACTGCCATATCTTCATTTTAAAACAGGCATGCTTTTATAACTGAAATACTGTAACATATTGCCGTGCATAGCAAGTTCACCAACCAAGCTTAAATATTTCAGTTATCATGTAATGGACTTTTAAAAAAAAAAAAGTTTTTTTTTTTCTATTTCCGTTCATTCTGACCCGAGAAAGAGATACTTTAGTAATGCCTACTTGGTAAATTATCATGCTTATAATTATGTCTCTTACATACGTTTTCTTTATTCAAAGCTCCATTGGAATCCAGAGATAACATACACAACAGTAAAAGGTAAAAACCACAACAGAAAGATAACAAAGAAAGATATAAACAATAAGCAAGAATATGTTTTAAATGGAAGCAATATTGTGTTTTAAATGGAAACAAAAGTATGTTTCAATAATGAAAGGGAGAATAGAAAAAAAATCAGTGAAACTAAACCATAGAGAAAAAGGCATTTATTTCCTAAAGTTCTAACGTTTCGTAACTAGCCGCCTTAAAAGTAGGTAATATAATTGCCATATATGATAAGTTTACACCAAACTTACCATTGCTTTGAAATTAAGGGAATATTTCCCATAAAACATTTAATCTACAAGATATTGATATCAAACTTAACATTGCTTTGAAGTAAAAGGAATATTTCACATACAACATTTAAATGATATAATCTACAAGGTATTGATATCAAACTAACAGTTGCTTTGATAGCACGTATACAACATTTAGTCTACAAGATTTTAATACCAAACTTACCGTTGCTTAAAGATAAAGAAAACATATGAAGCATTTTTTACTATGAATAGAATGTTAACATGTACAAATAAGACGGTGAAAACAAATGTAAATTATGGTAACTTAGCCCTGAAATAATGAAAAATGTTTAAATACATTGAAGACAGCTGTAATGTAACACGATACTACTTTTAATTATGTAGTTTTGCATCTTTTTTTCTTTAATCATAAAATTAACAGTAAAATGTTTTGCATGTGTGGGTCTCATTGAATAGAATTATCAAGTATTGACTGTAATAAAGTTTAAGATACTTACTTTCTACGATTGTAGTAGTTACTGTTGACATCGAATTTGTAGATTGCCCACCTTCTGAAGTCGTGGATTGTACGTTGCCGGAAGTTGAAGATGACGAAGATTGTACGTTGCCGGAAGTTGAAGATTGTGAAGAACCTGAATTCGTAGATTGTACATTACCAGAAGTTGAAGATTGCGCAGAACTTGAAGTCGTGGATTGTACATTACCGGACGTTGAAGAAGGCGCAGAACCTAGAGTTGTTGACTGTACATTACCGGAAGTTGAAGATTGCGCAGAACTTGAAGTCGTGGATTGTACATTACCGGAAGTTGAAGATGGCGCAGAACCTAGAGTTGTTGACTGTACATTACCGGAAGTTGAAGATGGCGCAGAACTTGAAGTCGTGGATTGTACATTACCGGATGTTGAAGAAGGCGCAGAACCTAGAGTTGTTGACTGTACATTGCCGGACGTTGAAGATGGCGCAGAACCTGATGTGGCGTGATGTCGTGGATTGTACATTACCGGACGTTGAAGAAGGCGCAGAACCGATTGAGGTAGACTGATCAGTAACAGAATCTGATGTTAAACCATTGCCAGTAGATGATGTCTGCACAACGGTAGAAGTAACGTGTTGTGTGGTCGATGTTGCTGCTTCAAATGTAAACTGGCCGTCTGCTGTTGTTGTTGCTATGTCTGCGGTAGTTGTTCCGATCGAGGTTGCCGATGAACTACCTGTTGTCACAGATGTCGATGCGCTAAAAGCACTCCCAATGTTTTGACAGAGATACAAAATGACCACTGACGCTGTGAAAATAAGAAAAGAAAGCGTGTACATCCTTTTAAAGCAGAATGTCTCCAGATTCTTGCTAATTTGGGTGAAAATTTTGAAAATGCATTAATTGCACATAAGCAAAATATTACTTGAACATGAAATCTATCTTTTCTAAAAGATTGCAATCCTATTATTAGCACATTGCAATGGTGATAATTGGGAAGACCTTTGTACCATGTCACGTAGTACATCGAATACGCATAGCAGATAATTTCTTACAATAACATTTTTTGGTCACGTGTAAAATATATTAATAATGCAGACATATCTAACTTTGAGCTTGGACCTAACATTTTAAGGTCCCCGCTTTGAGCAAGTTTTTGTTTGATTGTTTTATTGGTGGATTAAGTGGAACTGATCATTGTAATGACCACGGCGACTTTCCTAGCTTTACTTGTGGAGAGAGACCTTAGTGATCCCTTTGTATATTATTTCAGACAACGAGCGGGTATCAGAGTAGAATCATTGACATTCCGTATGCGAGCTACATTGTTTCCTTACATGGAACAATCAAAAGTCTCTCAAGGGATTTGAACCAATAAACTTGGCGGGGAGGTGGGGGTGAGTGATAAGAGTCAACAACCTAAATCACTCGGTCAAGGAGTTACCAACTCCGAGAAAATATTCTTGGAATCCAATGGACTGTTGGAAGGAAAATTGTACAGAAACTGGTTATAAATACATTTTCCAAATAATTCATTTGTTTGATATTATTATCAGTTTTGATAAATTAAAATTCTTTTATCAACTATATATATGAAATATAGCAAGTATGCCGCTTACCAAGTCTGCGACGAAGTCGTTTATTCCCGGAAAGTTGTCCAATCATCTTTATTTTATTTCTTGTAAAATAAAAACACCTTTTTATCGTGCGTAAAAGGAAAAAGACTATACTCCTTTTGTCAAAAAATCACTTTTCTAGCAGATCTTCGATACACTAGTTTTGTATATCTGTTTTCTTCCATTCGAAACTTTCGAATAACTATATTAATATGGACAAACTTGATAAATGATGAAATTTCAAAGCGTATAATTATAACAATAATATTTTCAGTAAAAGCAAGGTATCAGTTTGAATGTCTTAAACAAATATTGACTCATCAGATAATGGACTTGATGTCACAGATTCTGTGGAATGTTTTCCCGGTCACTATGGAAATGATTTGATAATAAATTGATCGCCTTTTGCGGCAGCGTTCAATACCCAACGTCGTAAATCCCCTAAAGTGACAAATAGTGTTCATAAAATTAACTTTGTATTTGCTCACTATTATTACCGTAAACAGTACTACTAGTTAAAGGAATGATAATTCTGTAACCGGAAATGGTAAGATTTAGGTTGGAATTTCCCAATTTTGTACGCGACGCAAAAAAAATGACTTAAAATTTTGTACATTTTCGTCCAATCAAATACTTTGTAAAACGGGTATGATTCCGCCCTAATCATGATACCTTGGTTTAATTTTGGAGCAAAGTAAACATAATTATTGTAAACAAAGGATGAGGGATTGTCCAATTTCATCAACAATAACACAATTATATTCCAACCTTAATTTAAAACTAACGCACATTTCTCCGTCACCTATACATGTAATAGAGATATAATAGATGTAATTGTATTGGAAATTTACAAATATCATATCAAAAATCGACATTCTACCTCTATATTTATATTGTTATAGAAAATATTTTGACAATAAAGGTGAAATAGAATCAAATTGCGTACAAGTATATTGACTGCAAACTTTGGCTTTATTTTTATTCATCAGACGGACTTTCGGCTGTGTCAGAGAAGCGTAATATGGTCAAATACTGGGACATAGTACGTATATACAAAAAAACTTTCTTTAATAGGGACAAAATAATTCACCTAGCATTAAACATTGTTGATAAACGAAAGGTTAAATCGCCCACATAATGATATTGTACTAAATCAAATGTCAAAAATGATTTTTTTACTCCTTGCCCAAGAAGTATTCAGCACAATATACATGTATTATTTTATGTAAATTAGATTCATATACATGATAAACACTACGATCACGCATGTTAACATTACATCATTAAATATACTGTGACAAACGTGTTATTCTAGAAAAGGGTAGATCCTTCGGGAACAATGAAACAAAAAATAATGTGAAAACTGTAAGCTCATTTTAATTAAATCTTTTTAGAAAAGTTGGAAAGTACAACGTCTGTCACGCCCCCTATCACCGACAGAAGGAAAAATCAATTTTCAGCACTAAAAGTACTAAACGGCAATTTATATTTTATGGCAATTGGTGGATAGTTGACCAAGTACTCGATAATGGTTTAGGGCGGTTATAAATTACCGGAAAAAGCGTCTCTGAATTGTACGAGGGGGCGTAGCCCCCCCCCCCCCCGAGTATTAATCAGATTGCCGAGTGTTTTGATGTTCTTTCTCTTTTGTATCATAGTCAAACATAAAGACACGTTCCCTGTTGTCACAATATGAAATCCCAGAAAAAAGTAACCAATGAACGAACATCTGAATATGATATTGCTATCGCTTTCCCATTCTCTGTCGTCACAATAAGTAAACCCCAGCAAAAATGAGACAATCAATTGGCATGCTCTGGAGTGCGGTTAACAATTACCTGTACTCCAGTTAACGCACTGTGCATGTATATACGATTTAACTCTGGCACATTTTCAACAGAAAGGTTCCCAAACTATAATACAATGTATAATGTTGCAATAAAAATGCCATACAAATTTAATTGAAATTATAAAAGCGTCTATTATAATTATGCTAGATATAAATTACGCTGAACAACACCTTGACACTATTGAGTCGTATTGACTATCAGTGCACTTCAAAGAGTGCTTTACGCCAGTATCAGTATTTTTGGAAAACTGAAACGGTTATATAATTTGAAAGCAGGCTTATTTTGTGAAATGATGATAACGTTGTATACGCATCTGTGACTTTCTCTATTGTACCATATAAAAGCGATTTTTGAAAGTTAGGACGTGCTTAAATGCCAGTCATGAATTGTGATACCAGCATCCCACATCTGGCGCAGTGTGGGGGATAACGGGGAAAGGGAGTACCTGCTAGATCAAAATTGCAGTTGGGCTTATTTTTCTCTATATTAGCAGAAAAAATTTAAATCGTGTAAAGGCTTTCCCAGGCATTAAGCGGGCATTTTTACTTTCCGACTGTCCCTACCAGGCCTTTACAAAGGATTTGAATAATATGTGGCGACATGGCCGAATGGTTAACGCGTCGGACTAGTAATCTCGTGATCGCTAGCCGCATGGGTTCAACTCCCGTCAGGGGCAAGTCGTTGTTTCCTTGAGCAAGAAACCTGGGACATAAGACTTATCTTATGTCCCAGAAGAAACTTTACACTCATTGCTCAGTACTGGTTGGTTCCAGGATCGGATTTGAAAGTGTGTCTATAAGCATATAGCTTCCTACACAATCGAACTAAAATAAATTCTGTATAAACCAAAGGATTTGAATAGTTTCCGCTATTGCACAGTATGGGTGTTAATGGTTCAACCACGACTATAATTATAGCCGTAGTTCAACTGACTAGTGCATAAGGATTTTGGCACTCAACCCATAAGATTCCATTATATTCCTCATGAAGTACTTTCAAAAATACTATCATCATAATCTTAACCTTTAAATGCCCATTCTTAGAAAGAAACAACTGACTTCAGCTCATTTCTTACACCTATAGCTTAGTATTGGTTATGTTTTAAACAGAAGCTAATCTTTATCAGATTACCAAAGAAACTAACCATGTCTTTTCATTCAATTTTTATTCAGCATAAAATATTGCATTCAATGAAAATAGAAGTTTTCAACGTTTCCAGAGACATAACTCCTTCATAACAAGAACGCACACACTTGCTTACATCACTAGTATAAAAACTGGCGAGTCTACACACACTTCTTCCGACTTCCCTTCGTGGCGTGCACGTCGCTCGGAAGGCATAGGTCACACCAGATGGGTGACCTAGTTAGGTCACTTAGCTGGTGTGACCTAACCAACGACGAAGGGTGTGGCCCTAAAGAGAGCTGCTGCTCCCGGAAGAGGTGCCTTTCCTCTATTGTTCATGAAGCGAGGAATTGGGTTCTAGAGAAGGTCTACGACGATCGACAGCATGAAAAGACCTCCGTCGCGGCTCTACGACATCGACGACGTTGCAGGCGAATAAGTCCTCCGTTGCAGGCTCTACGTTACCAGCAATCGTAATAGAGGCCGACTAGTCTGGGACATATGGGAAACCGGCGCCCAGTATAAATAAAACCAAAAACAACAACAACACAACACCTTACTGTCTGACTGGACTCCTTCCTGTTCATTGCTCAGTTTCAGATTGATCTACCAAATCAAATCAGGTTAAAACACTGTCCTTCAAAATGAAACTAAGTCTTTTTGTGTAATATAAACAACATAGTTTTTTTATTAAGATGTTTATTCCCTACATTTATAACTCGCATTGCTTAGAATTTCTTCAGAGCATTCAAAATTAAAGACAATTCATTGTCCCCTGTTCTTTTAATTCACCCGACTTATAATTAGTTCAAAGTATTTAAATTTAAAGAAAATTCTGTACAAAAATGGCGCTACTATGCTACTAAAATATACACGGAGTCTCAGACATTATGAAATGTTCTAGCTAGCTTGGCTCTATACTGGTGACAGCTAATCAGTTTGGGCCCCAGCAGGTAATTGCTTGTATTTCTGCAGCTCAGCTTAAGTCTTTAAATTCTCTAAAAGATCCATATCATTTACAGTACAACAATAAGCAATGATTTGTATGTTACCATCTAAGACTAAGGTAACCTGCTTTTAGTATATTCATGTCTAAATCATAAAACAATATCTCTAACTTATATGCTGTTAAGCTTAACAAATGTGCTTTTCATTTAAACGCCAACCCCCCCCCCCCCCCCCCCTCAAAAAAGATCACCTGAGTAAAGACATAACACTTTCAAGTCAAGCTGCTTGAACTCTTATTAAGCAAAATGGAATGAAATCAAGTAATACATGTTATATATAGACTGGGTTTGTCTATACTTCATGTTGTCCAACCTTCCACTCCAGTACAATAAAACTCTTTCAAGACCTAAAACTTAAATTCTATCTTTCAAGTTAAAAAATACACTAACTTGTTGCAATATCCATCAACACAATTAATGTCCAAATGAATAAAAACTTCTTATTGTTCAGAAAAAAATGTCAATCTTTCATGAACCAATTCATATTTCAAAATAATGTGATTTGTCGCTTCTGTACTTAAACATTTACTTCCATTATGTATATCAAAGCTGTTAACTTCAGCATTATTTTTCCACATACATATTCCAGTAATGTTTTGAAAATGTTTATCTCCACTTTGTTCCATTTATATCAGTCCCCATGTTGATCCTGTTGCATATCAAAGCTTTTCATTTTCATCACAACCCACTGACGTATACACTCAATACATTGGTCAATATATGTACTCACAAATTGCACTTGTTTTATCCTTTAGATGTGAAAGTTCAAAGCTTTATTATTCTTTTTACGCATTCATCTTAGGTATTTAGTCCACAAATTGATCAATAATATTTGCTTGTGTTTTTGTCTGTTGATGAATTGTCATCAATTGCATTCCATCTTCATTATCTTTCCTTAATATATGGGCAATTTTTAAGCTTCTTTTGCATGCATGTTTTGATCAATTATAGTCACGTCACAACAGCACATGTTTTATTCTGTTGATGTTCAATCATACTTTGTTTTTCATCTTCTTTAATAGATGTGCAGTTGTAGATTCCAGTGCTGCTTTCCTTTTTCTCTGTAATGGGAAGCAAAAATATTGTTAGTCACACCAACACTGCATAAGTTGTATGGCCTTTCAATCTTTAAATTTGAACATTAAGTTTATAATGATAACTGGTGACGATAAGATGTGATGATAAGTGGTGAAGATAACTGGTAAAGATAAGTGGTGAAGAAAGACCACAAAAGCATTATTTCAGGCATGAGTGGGCATGTGAGTAAAACCAACAATCTTCTGTACTGTATATCTATCAGGATAGAATTCAAAGTGTTGGGATTCAAATGAACAGGGGTGAGAAGCAAGCGGCTTTGAGTCAGCAACCTTATCAAGTTGGCCACAGCAGGAAGCTGGATTAGTGCACATTATAAATTCTTTGTGATTCATAGAATTATAGAGAAACTGAATACTTCCAGCCAAAAAGAAACTAAATACTTCAAGAAAAAACTAACAGAAAATTGCTAAAACAGCAATAACAAAAGCAATCAAAGATATATTCAGTACTTTGTGAACTTAAAGAACAAAAAATGTGACCAGGAAAAAACTATTGCTTTTCCGAAGCATTTTTGTATACATATATATGACTTACATTTGGTGTTAAACTTCCAACAACGTCAATAGAGTCTTTACTTTGGTCATCTTCACTTTGTCCTATCTCTAACAACGGGTCAGGATTTTCTGGTAAAGGTACATCTGGAGTCTGCAAAATTATTCTTTATATTTAAAATTTTGAAAAGTCAATTTCACATTTTTCTATACCGCTCAATGCTTTCTGTAATTTTTTTTGAATTGCCCCTTGTAATTTGGGAGTAGCCAGAATAAAGAGTTTCAAAGTGATATTTAAGCATTTTTTCTTTTTATTATAGGTGGGTAAAGGTAGCCAGCAGTAAATTATGCATTTACAAGAGTAAATTAATTAAAAAGACTGTTCTTACTTAGAACTTTTGCTAATCATTTGGATGTTTGCAACAATGAACATTGACACACATTTGTAACAATGGTCTTCATTGGACAATCATGTTTATATTACCTATACATATCCATTTACATAGCTGCTGCAAAGTCACGAGTCATTTTAATTGTTTGATAGTTTAGTTTTTACGCTGATTTTAACACATTCTTGGTCTTATATCAGGTGAGCCCACCTGGCCGAATTTTTTGGAAAACAAACCAATTATTACTTATATCTCTGCAACACATTTTTAGTCCCACATGATTTCTGAAACAGATTCAGCCGTGAGAGACAAATAACAACTGAATGCTCAGTATCAATTTCACCTCACGCAAGGCTCAAATCAGTGACACCTGTGATTACACATCTGATGCCCTCCCTACTAAGCAAAGGGGAATAACAGAAAGTAACTGTGCAATATTGTAAATATCTATAAGGACTTTTGGACAAGTTAATTGACTTTGGCTCAATCAAACCAAGCCTGCAACATTTTCAATTTTGTTGTTTAGGACATTCTTTTGTAATTCTGCTTTTCTCTATTTTGTATAAATGATAATTTGCAGAATAAGTTAATAACAGTTTATATATGGTCATATAAAACTAATAACAACATAAAAGTCAATATTACCTTTCCAGGATTTATAGTTTCATACTGATGTTTCAAAGTTTCTAGCTCGTAATCACAAGTAGCGAGAGCAAGTTTTAGTTCATACAGTAACACAATGTCTTGCCGTAACTCGTTGAAATGTGTAGTAATTTCATCTGTGGGCATTGGATTGTATTCTGAAATAATGAATGTATGATGTTTAGAGTTCCAGTTAATCTTAAAACAACATGCATTCAGACTGTATTTTCTGTTAAAAAGTTAAAAGAGAACAATGTAAGGTATGTAATACCATAAATAATTATGTTGAAAGTATTTTAGTATTATACATGACAACAAACCAGGAAAAAGATTTATACATGTATATGAATGTTGTTGGTGTGTGATATATGATATACCTTATCCGATATTTCATATCTTTATATAGCAGATAATAAATTGTTCTAGAACAAAACATTATTTTTCATCATGCATGTATAATTAATTATTCATACTAAATTAATTAGAACTCTATAAAAATTTTCTTTAAAAGAAACATTTTATACGAATATCCAAATGATATACTGAAATACTTATGGAAAATGTGACCGTGGTAGACCAATCCACTTTAAGTTTCCAAAGTCATATGAACAAATAAAGTGATTTAAAGAAGTCATTGTCATAGGGTTGATATATCTGATAAATGCATTATACATGTAATTAAATGATATATACACACTTACACTAACTAAACATACACTATTTATAAAAGTACCTTATCTACATGATTATATACACGTATCTACATTAATATCAATCATTCACTAATAACTATAATATAAAACATTCATAATTACATAATAATAAAGTACAATTTGAACACCAAACTAAAGTAGATAGTTTATAATGTAGTGGTAGCTTATAGTAAGTGTAGTCAGACCTCCTTATACTTTCGTTCTTTACTGTATTTATTTCGATTAACCTCCTCTCTATCAATAACAAATCAATAACCAATCACTATCGAGTAATCGATATCCGCCATATTTTGAAAACAAATGTAAACAGCCATTTATGCTTTAAAAACTATTATCATCCTTTTTGTAGTTATTTATTGATATATCTACAACGTTTGTATTTAATGCCTTATATGTAATTGTGTATTGTATTTCAATTGATCTGAATTTGTATTGTTAATTGTTTGTATTTTCCATGTCTTATTATTGTTTATGTATGTCATTACAGGAGCGTATTTACCATGTAAATATAATAGAATCTGTCGAACCAACCCAGTGCTTTCGTTATCATTACCCATTGAGTAGGCCGGCGACATCATAGTATTAAAAATCCTCAAATATTCCATATTTTATGTCAAAATGTTTACTCACCTGGAGACGTGCACGTATAACTTTAAAATATTGAATGTAATTTGACATTAACCATTTTATTGTCTTAAATTTCACAAATCAGAGGTAAGCTTTGTTAGTATATAGGCTTTAATTTGTGGCATGTATAACTGTCAGTTTGTTTAATATGCTCTCATGAAATCGATACATATTTCACATACCTATTCCAAGCTCTTCCAAAACTTGTTCTATGGCTTTTGTTTTCTTTTGTCCTATTGATGCAGGCAATTTCATCTGGAAATAATTATAACAGTCTCAGACATTTAAAACAATGAGAGTGTTCCTAGTAAACCATTCAGAGGGCAATTCAAACAATTATCACCAACACAGTTTATGTCATACTGCCAGTTACCAACTTACCTAGTGGAGGGAACAAGTGAGTAGAACCACTGATCTTCCATAAATGAGCTGTATTGCTTCACATATGAATTGTCAATTAAGTACTTCAAGAATTATCATTAAAATATAAATATCAAACTTCTGGTAAATGCTTCGGATATAATGATAACATTGGCAAAAGATATTTAAATATAAAGACAATATTGACAAGTATTACGGCTAATTAATTGCATATCTACACATGATTGTAACCTCTGCTGAGTGGTTCTCTATAGAGCAATTACCTCTTTTCAACAGCAGTTTATTTTTCCCACCAAAAACTGGGATTTCATATTCAACCCTCAACAACCACCCTCAACAACTAAATGTTTTCTCTGCCAAAGGGTGTTGCTCTCAAGAGGTTGTATAGTAAATGGTTTACCCATATTCTTTGCTGCATCTAGGTTAATCCAATGTTTATCCCATACATATTCAATGTACATATATATGCATATGTGAAAAACAAGTGGGTTTTACTATACCTTTTGACTCCTGACATAAACTCCCGGCTGTTTAAAGTCTGGGAACTTTATTCCTGTTGTTTCTGGTGTTTGCTGAAAGTAAACAACACCATTTTTGACCCCCGAAAAATAATATCAGTGAAAATGATGGATGGTTTATAACTGATGATAACATTACTAAACTATTAGGAAGAGTAGAAAAATCAAATTTTACGTGTGACAATGACCGTATTAAAATAAGCTCACTTTTTTCTGGGGGTATAATAAAAACATTCCTAAGGGTAGATGTTCATGTCTACTGAATATTTAAGATAAAAGTAAATCAAAATGACATGAAGTACTGTGGTAAATGACCTTGTCTCTATGGACCTCTAATTGTAATCAGTGGTAGACGTTCATAAAGGTATCAAAACATGGATTTTAGATATTCAGTATATAAATAAAGGCATTATGAGAAAAAAAAATCTTTGAATGATAGAGGGACAAAGAAGCCAAGTTCTTTTTTGGTTGTTTTATTTTTGTTACACAAACACTGTCAAGGTCATATGGAGACTTTTCACGTTTTACTGGAGGAGGAAGACCTCAGGTGCCCTTTTGTGTATTGTTCAAGTCATGAGCAGGCACCTAAGTAAAACCACAAACCTTCTGTAGGCTAGCTGGATAGCTTACTCGGATGAAAGAATTCAAAGTCCCTAGTGGGATTCAAACCTAACATAGATAGGGGCAGGTGATTAAAAATCAAGGCACTTAAGCATTCAGCCTAGGAGGCCCCCATCGTTTAGCAACAAAGACTGCTATATATACATACTGCTGTAGTATCTTTAATCTTTTGTTGTTGCTGGAATTTTTTATTTGTTTTCTTCTTGTCTGCTTTACGGCTATCAATATTACTGTCAGCGGCCGTGATCAACTTCTGTAGATCTTGTGTTTTCTTTTCTCTCTCTTTCTTTCTTAACTCAATCTTCTTTAGTTCTTCTATCAGCTTATCTTCTTCTTCAATCTATCAAATTCAAATAAATTTAATTAACTGCATGTTTTCTCGTAAAGTCTTCAAACAAACATTCTGATGGAGCAAGTTTGTAAAGAAAATAATAGAGATTTCACTGTGAATAAAAAATGGCAAAAATGCATCAACGGGCTCAACAAAACTTGAATCTTTACCTTAAATCCTATATAACATTGATCTACAAGGTCAAGTTTAAAAATACAAGAAATTCTACCACAGCTTTGCTATCTATTATTAGAACTGAGAAGGGAGCATGCGGTCAAATGATACATGTATCTCCTTTATGCCATGTGAGTTAAAACCTTTTTGCATTAAAAGCAATGATTTATGTTTATTTATTATCTTACTTGTTCTGTTGTTCTGTTAAACAATTTAATAAGCTGTGATTTTCGTTTTCTCTCATGTTCAGCATCAAAAGCTCGGATCTTTGGTTCTGTTCCGTGTGGGGCTCGTACCTGATACAATATATATGTAAAAATGTATGTCTACAATATCAAATACATTTGTTAAAAAATCAACGCAATAACTGAAAGATCACAATACCATTTCTAAAATCACAAAAACTTGTAATTTTGAAATTATTTGCTTCTTTGATAAATAGTTTCTGTTTCTTGTCTTTTGTGTTCATTTTTGTTGTTATCTTTTGGTAGGAGAAAGGGAAAGGGAGATTATTCTGATGAACAAATAAAACTGGAGCTGTAAAATATCCAATAAATCTGATAACAGCATGCATTTACAATATGATTTGCATAAAAACAAATAATATCCTATCTATTGAAATACACCAGTGAGATGAAAAACAAAACGATTTAAAGAATAAATTCTCAGTAATTTCAATCATTGTGTTTCCAACTTTCTTTTTACCAATTACTATAAATATAAATCTGATTCTATCAAGCACCTACCTTAACTAGTTTGTTACATATATTATAATATCTTTCTTTCAGATCTTCAACACTTCGGTCAGCATATTTCTCCCTGTCCCAGCGGTCATTCATTACCACAAACCTCAGCGCGAACCTCTTACACAGGTCAAACAGATGATCGGTCTCCTGTCGGGTCCAGTTATCGTCATGGAGATGCTGCTGATACTCAAGGTCGGAGTATACAGGCACTTCTGGTTGCTGAAATTTAAACAAACATTTAATTGCATTAAGTAGAATAATACCGGTATTTTATCATTTTGTAGAATAAAAATGCATTAGAATAAAATGTTATTTCTAAGCTTAAACAGGTTTTTTTTATTGTATTAATTGTATTATTTTGTAGTATAAAATGCAATTTGAATTAAATGTTATTCCGTGGAATAAACAAGTTTTTTATTGCATTAACTGTTATTTTGTACACAAGGATTGAAAGTAGTCAAGTCAAGAACACATGAGCGGGTTGAAGGTAGTTTATATATCAATCGGCTTTGGTAAAAAAACGACCTTCATCAGAATTTAACCTTTCAAAGTATAATAATTAGACATTCAATTCTATTTGACTCCTGGCGTAGTTTTGAATACACGAAAAACTGTAACAGTATCATACATCAGGGCCCTTGATCTACCAAATCTGCGGCCAATATTCAGCTTCAGTCCTCCACTAAAATAGTATTATTTTTTTCCCTGGCGGAGGTAAAAATTCCCCCTTTAAACATCTAAAATTTTCCACACAAAAATTGAAAAGTTATGCTGTTTTCGACAAGCAAAATTGAAATTTCCCCTGCTGTGGGTAGCGACCAACTTCCCCAAAATTGACCTGAGGGCCCTGCACATAAACAACAAATAATACGGTAAACTGGCAGTCAACATACCTTATTAAATCTTGCAAATGGATAATCTTTCCCTTCATCAGCCACTCTCCTCCAGTGATGGAAAATGGCTCCATCTTTCCTAGCTGGGTTTGTAAACGGCATCCATTTCCAGGGTCTAACCCTACTACTTCCAATCTTAGCCTTCATTTGTTTATAGCCCTGATTTGTGTCCGTTGGTATTAAGGGTGGGGCATCTCTATGAAAGAGCAAAGCAATCATGTCACAAGTGATGTGTAGAATATTTTATTCTATATAACACTGGTTGAACTTGGCTAAAAATTATACTATTATAACTGAAAAATAACACAGGTTAACCACGGCTAGAAATTTAAACAATTACAACAGAAAAATAACACTGGTTAACCATAGCTAGAAATTTATACCATAATAACAGAAAAATAACACTGGTTAACCATGGCTAGAAATTTATACCATTACAACAGAGAAATAACACTGGTTAACCATGGCTAGAAATTTATACCATAATAACAGAAAAATAAATGTCTATTGACCTTAAATTTTACTTTCAAGTTTGTTTTGTTTCTTTTTGGTACAAGCCCTGTTAAATATCTTCTATACATTCGAGCAATGACTTAGTGGTTAATGTGCCTGTCCCTCAATCTAGGGGTCCTGTATTTGAGCATTACTTGGGACACAACCGTGTTTCCTCACATGACACTAGTACTGGTTAGCTCCAGGAGACAGATTCGAAAACAATTAGCATAAAAGTAAAAATGAAATTAAGTTGCAAGAGCTTGTTTCACAACTGAACATAAATAAAACAAATGCTTCTTCTTAAACACATTTTCTTTCTGTGTGAGTAATATTTAAAGTAAACACAGCAAATTGTGAACAGGTATATAATAGTAACATTGTTTCTTTCGATTCTATAAGCACCTTCAACAGCTAAATGTTACCTGACATTTTACAAGCATGCGTCACTAATTTTTCGCAAAAAAAAATAAAATTTTCACCATACAACATAAGGGGACGATTTCTGGTTGCATGCTATTAGTAAGGGATAGACTTAATATACAAATACATTTCAATATATAACAACAATTAATAAATGTATATACCAATTTCAACTATACAAAGTTAATCTTTAATGTCATTCTTTACAACACTGAAAGCCATGTCCTTGAACCTTCTCGTATTAGGACGGTTTTGCAATTTCATTCACTGATTTCAAAGCTTTGTAACGTAAATGCATTCTTCAAAATTATATCCGTAACTGTCAGAAAAGCAATAAAACATGAACAGGTGGTTGCGAAGTACTCAACAAAAATGATAACATGGAACTATATAAAGAATGCACTCAAGGGCTTTTACTTACTTGTTGCATGGGAACCTTTAAATGAACAGACATCTCATGTATGACATTTAGAAAAATAATTCATGCAATATGATACAAATTCAGGCCTGGATGCAAAACTGTTGTAACTCTGTCTTTATCTACATTAAAGTGACAACAATTTTGAATCCAGCTCTGAGAGAAGAGAATTGGTATGGGTACATTTAGTGTAATATTTCTGATAATCTTGTTTTAATGAGAATATGACAAACAAATGGAAACATATAAGGATTTAAAATGTTTTCCATAACAAGTAGAAAGATACATGTATTGTAGCATGAGTAATACAGAATAGCTATTTCATTGCAGTTTTAGAAAGAAGGCACTCAAAACAATCTGGAATTAACCTCACAATAAATAATTTTTTCAAGTCACATAGCTTCCTAACTTGAAAGAATTCAAACTCCCTGACACGATTCAAACCCACAGCAGTATAAGGGCCAAGTAGTTTGAAGTCTTTGCCTCAACAACCCTCACAATAAATAGATTATGTCAAATAAGTTTAAAAAAATTAAAAACTAAACTAGAACTCCGCGAGTTGGATGTGTCGCCTTGTGAACAAAATAGTTTAGGAGAAATGGCCAGGAAAAAAATGAAATATAAAAACTAACAAAGGTCAATAACTCAAAATATAATAAGTGCAGAGCAACAGTTTCTATGTACTGCACTTCTTATCTTATCAATAAGATCTATCATTCTATGAAGTTTCAAGTCCATATCTTTTATAAGTTATGAGAAATAGCCTGGACAAAAATAAAGTATGAAAATTAATAAAGGGTAAAAACTCACAAATAAGAAGTGCAGAGTACCGGTTCTTGTACACTGCACTTTTTCTTAATGAGATCTATCATCCTATGAAGTTTCATGTCCATAGCTTTCATACTTGAGGAGAAATGACCGGGACAAAGTATGAAAATTAACAAAGGGCCATTACTCAAAATATAATAAGTGCAGAGCAACAGTTTCTATGTACTGCACTTCTTATCTTAACCAGAGTACCGGTTCTTGTACACTGCACTTTTTCTTAATGAGATCCATCATCCTATGAAGTTTCAAGTCTAAAGCTTTTATACTTTAGGAGAAATGGCCCGGACAAAAATAAAGTATGAAAATTAACAAAGGGCATTAATTAACAAAGGGCAAAAACCAAAAATTTAAGAAGTGCAGAGTACCAGTTCTTGTGCACTGCACTTCTTCGGAATGAGATCTATCATCCTATGAAGTTTCAAGTCCATAGCTTTTATACTTTAGGAGAAATGGCCCGGACAAAAAAAAAGTATGAAAATTAACAAAGGGCAATAACTCAAAAAATAAGAAATGCAGAGTACCGGTTCTTGTGCACTGCACTTCTTCTTAATGAGATCTATCATCCTATGAAGTTTAAATATCATAGCTTTTACACTTTAGGAGAAATGGCCGGGACAAAAAAAAGTATGAAAATTAACAAAGGGAAATAACTCAAAAATAAGAAATGCAGAGTACTGGTTCTTGTGCACTGCACTTCTTCCTAATGAGATCTATCATCCTATGAAGTTTCAAGTCCATAGCTTTCATAGTTGAAGAGAAATGGCCCGGACAAAATTAAAGTATGAAAATTAACAAAGGGCAATAACTCAAAAATTAAGAAGTGCAGAGTACCAGTCCTTGTGCACTGCACTTCGGGTTATTGAAAGAAGCTTGCATACCAAGTTTGAAGTCAATCAGACTTAAAGTGACTGAGTTATGCTCCGGACAAGCTTTAGGGGTCGCCGACAAGACGCCGACAACAAAAGTAACCCCTTTATGTCTCCTTTTCAAGGCGACACAAAAAGAAGATGAAATATAATAAAATTTCCTTGCTACACCAATACTTTAATGTAATGTGGAAGGTACTAAGCATAATTATGCTGTCTAATATTTTATAAAGAACTTTTAAAAGCTGCATGAGTACAAACATCTGGTACAAGTACATGAATGCATGTACATTAATTAATACACATGACACATAAACTTCTTCCCGGCCACCATCATCCTCTGGAATCGCCTACCCATACAAGTTGTTGAGCAACTAACCTTAGAGGGGTTCAATTCGGCGCTGATGAAACACACTACTACCAACTAGACACATTGCCAGTTTTTTTACCAGATTTTAAGAAGATGTGAATAGACTACTTTTAACTGTAAAGAGGAACCCAATTGCTGTGCATGTACATAGTTTTAGTTTCATTGCGATTATGCTCTATGAAGAGTGAGGCGATTACTGAAGATGATGATGATGATGACATTCAATCCAATAGTGTGACACATATTTTCAAGTAAGGCACATTTAGAGGTATATACACTGTGTATATCCAGTAATGCAGAACTGTGCAATTATGACCAAAACTAGTAACGGTCAGTAAACGGACCAAAGTATTTTACTGTATATCATATTCAAAGAAACTCATAAATGCAGTCAGTTGTTATGACATTATACTTTAACTAGCATTACAAATGTTTCCCGAAATATGTTTACTTTTTAAGATCAATTGTGAGAATGAAAACTTGACTAACGTTTTGAAATGGATTTTCGTGTTTTGATGAAATTATTAAGTACAAAAATGCATTTTCAACTTTATTTTCTTTTTATTTGGTTTAAACTTTACACATTTGCCAAACTACTGTTGTCATATTATACAAGAAGGAAGCAGATAAAATAGTTCAGGTACCTTTATGAGGTGACCTGTGTTGCTTTGATGCATCATTCAATAATTCGGCATTACCTCCAACAAATTGTCTCAGTCACATTTTATGTGCTAATTTAAGCGTAATATGTCACAAGCAGATTGGCAGATGTCTCCGATTCACCGGATATCGAAAAACGATAATGCAATACATACATTTTTATACTTTAAGAAATCCACGAAACACAAGATTTGCATTCAATATGTTAACCAGGTCTTCATTCTCACAAATAACCATGAAAAATAAATACTGGTGGTGGTGTTGGTAGTTTTCAATCTTGATTATGACAGTAAGCCACATTGAATTCACCAGAGCACAGTTCAACCACCGCATTGTTCCTGTGCAGGCTGTCAAGCAGTTTACCAGTACTAGTGGCCTTCACTTTCGCACAAAACTGAAACTTCTGTGCATACCAGAGCAGAGGTACAGTGCGAATGACCGTAGAAAGGATTTCATGATCAATCACAACAAAAGTGACCTGCGATGTCTCGGAATCGAACCTGGGTCACCCGATTCACAGTCCAACGCTCTACCTAGTGAGCTAATCTGACGGCTTAAAATAAATACTTTCATAGAAATTTAAAATATAATGTCTCAACAACTGTACGCTCTAATTCATTTATTTTAATTTGAATTATAATAAAACTAGAAATGTGTCATCATGCCACGGATGCCCCCGCATGCAGCCAAAATTTCAAATGTTATAATATTTAGTTCCAAATTTGTTTGCACAAATTATTTTTTTCATTCTAAGTTCAAAGCCCTTTAAACTTTTCAATGTTAACACAAACCATTTTTATACAATGTTCAAGGCACTGAAATTATTCAGTCTTAACCATTTTTATACAATGTTCAAGGCACTGAAATTATTCAGTCTTAACCTTTTAAAAATAGCATATTGCATATTTGTAGCCATAATGGCTATATACATTTCCACAAAAGTATGAGTGCTGAAACTGAAAGTTCAAAATTTTTCCAACATTCAGGAAAGATAAGTTTGTCAAAAATCATTGAACGACGATTAAAATCAAACTTAAACTGCTTATTCCTAAGATGTATCTATATTATTTTCAAAGTGAAAGGGACACAACTCTGCCAAAAAATCATCGAACCATGACCAAATTCAAACTTGACCTGCGCTTTCCTTTGACATATCCATATGTCAAATTTGAGTTGAATATGTAACACTGTTAGATAATGTAGGTAGATAATGAACAAAAACTGTAAATTTCATATTTTTTCAAAGTGAAAGGGGCATTACTCTGCCATAAATCATTGAACCATGACCAAATTCGAACTTGGCCTGCGCATTTCAAAAACATATCCATATGTCAAATTTGAGTTGAATGTGTAATACTTTTGGGGAGATAATAAACGGAAACTGAAAATTTCATATTATTTTCAAAGTGAAAGGGGCATAACTCTGCCAAAAATCATCGAACCATGACCAAATTTGAAATTGACCTGCGCATTCCTTTGACGTATCAATATGTCAAATTTGAGTTGAATGTTTAATACTGTTGGGGAGATAATAAACAGAAACTGAAAATTTCATATTATTTTCAAAGTAAAAGGGGCATAACTCTGCCAAAAATCATCGAACCATGACCAAATTTGAACTTGGCCTGCGCATTCCTTTGACGTATCGATATGTCAAGTTTGAGCTAAATGTGTTGTACGATTGGGGAGATAATGAACGGAAACTGAAAATTTCATATCATTTTTAAAGTGAAAGGGGCATAACTCTGCCAAAAATCATTGAACCATGACCAAATTTGAACTTGACCTGCGCATTCCTTTGACATATCCATATGTCAAGTTTGAGTTGAATGTGTTGTACCATTAGGGAGTTAATGAATGGAAACTGAAAATTTCATATTATTTTCAAAGTAAAAGGGGCATAACTCTGCCAAAAATCATCGAACCATGACCAAATTTGAACTTGACCTGTATTTTCTCATGACATATCAATATCTCAAGTTTGAGTTGGATGTGTTGTACCGTTGGGGAGATAATGAACGGAAACTGAAAATTTCATATTATTTTCAAAGTAAAAGGGGCATAACTCTGCCAAAAATCATCGAACCATGACCAATTTTGAACTTGACCTGTATTTTCTCATGACATATCCATATGTCAATTTTGAATTGAATGTTTTGAACCGTTTGGGTCAGATAATGAACGGAAACTGAAAATTTCATATTATTTTCAATGTAAAAGGGGCATAACTCTGCCAAAAATCATCAAACCATGACCAATTTCGAACTTGACCTGTATTTTCTCATGACATATCCATATGTCAAATTTGAGTTCAATATGTGCAAGGGTTATTAAGATAATGAACGGAAACTGATGATGACGGAAGGACGGAAGGACGGAATGACGGAATGACGGAATGACGGAACAGGGTAACACTATATGCCCCTGCCATTATATGGCGGGGGCATAAAAATATTGGTTTATATATTTTCAAAGGTGCTGGTTTTGAAGTTACTTTTGCAAAATTCCGGTATTATTTGCACATTCCTGCGCAACTGGATATACACAGTGATATACATGTATATGTAATTCGGAACAGTCAATGTATTATGCATGACTTTCAAATATATACAAATGTTGACAGGCTTTCTTAATTTCAACTGGTTGAACAGGATACATAAATTTGTATGTTGAAATAGTAATTAAGTCTCCATATACATGTAGTAGACATGAAAGAATATGTATATAGTAAATGAATACATAAAACAAGAGCCCGGTTTGAGCCGGGTGATGCTTCCTGAATAGGTTTTGGACACAGGAAAGTACACCTCTTGTAGTTTTAGAGTTATGTCCCTGGAAAAAGTTCAAAGTGCAATAATTCCAAAATAATGGCAAGGCAGAGTTACTGTTCTTTGCACTGCACTTCTAATCAATGTGATCTTTCAACCTACAAAGTTTCTTGTTGATACCTCTTATGGTTATTGTGTTATGTCCTGGACAAAGTTCAAAATGTAAAAATATTTTTACAAAGGGCAATAACTACAAAATTTCGCAAGGCAGAGTTCAAGTTCTTGTGCACTGCACATCTACCAATTGAGCTCTATCTACCTACAAAGTTTCATGTTGATATCTCTTGTAATTTAAGAATAATTTCCCGGACAAGATTTTTTATAAGGGGAGATAATTCAAAAAGTTGGGCCAAACAGAGTTATGTTTTTTTTTTGTACTCACTTTTACTCAATGAGATCTATCTACCAAGAAAGTTTCCTGTTGATATCTCTTATATAGTTTTACAGCTATGTCCTGGACAAGATTTTTCTAAGAGGGGAGATAATTCAAAAATGAGGCTTAACAGAGTTATGGTTCTTTTGCACTGCACTTCTACTCAATGAGATCTATCTACCTACAATGTTTCATGTTGATATCTCCTATAGTTTTAGAGGTATGTTCCGGACAAAGTTCAAAGTGTATTTTAACAAAGGGTAATAACTCCAAAATTACACAAAAAAGAGTTATGGTTCTTGTACACTGCACATCTACCCATTGAGATCTATTTACTACAAAGTTTCATGTCGATATCTCTTATAGTTTTAGAGTTAAGTCCCGGACAAGATTTTTCTAAAAGGGGAGATACAAATTTAATTCAAAAACCGGGCAAAACAGATTTATGGTTCTTGTGCACTGCACTCCCCCTCAATGCCCTTTACCACTGTATGAAGTTTAAAAGGGTTTTGAAGTTATGCTCCGGACAAGACAACGGACGGACAGACGGACAAGGTGGCGACTATATGCTCTCCTTTCGGGAAGCATAAAAAATAACTGGCATATTTCTGTGTTTTGGGCTTAACCCTTAACCTGCAGTATTTCTAGACTTGTCCAGCTTCAAATTTTGGAACTGTCCATTATCACTTAAATGGACATGTCCAGCTTCAAATTTTGGAACTGTCCATTATCAATTTTGGGGATATCAAGATGGAAGTCAGTTAACTTTGGCCTATAAATTTTGGTTTTGAGCAAGTTAAGGGTTAAAAGAATAAAAAAAAAACATAATATAAAAGAAAACGATAAACTTACCTATTATCTGTCCACAGTAGACCCCATAGCTCCCTGTGCATACCCTCTGGTCTCTTAAATGTTACATCAGACTTTCGTGTTGGCTTTTTCTATAAAATAAAACAGAGGCATATCCCTGTTACAAATTTTAGACTATGACGAGCAAAAAAATAACCGAAGATATTATTCTACAGGTGAACTGAGTTGGTATAAAGACCAATTTGATAATAAGACCACTTTTTCCAGGTCCAAATAATTGTCTTTATACAAAAGATTTTTGTATTAACTTTAAGATAATTAAAATCATAAAAAAAACCCATTTTTTTATAGCTTTGGTTTTTGAATTAGTCTGTGGGCAAATTTCAGATAATGCATGGAATCTTTTTTATGGGTTTAAAACATTGTAAGAAGACTTCATGGACAATTTTTCCATTCATTACACATGAAACTTGAAGACGAATGTGAATATACTTTACCTTTTTATCACTGTTCATAAGAGCACCTTTCGTGATAAATTCCTTCTCAGGACCTCTATCCAACTCCAAAATATCTTTTACATCCACATTACTCATCTTTGCTCCTAAAAATAAAAAGTTTTTTATTAATATCAACAACAATATTTGTGATTGGCTGAAAAAGGCTATTTTTTAACACAAAAGAAAAATTAGCACAGAAGTTAAGTTGAGGCATAATAATGATTAATCCTTAAACCATTCTTCCTACAGAAGGTCTAGTTCCTGATATTCAAACTTTTAATCCTGGCTAAGTAGAGTGGTTTTCCTATTAGAATATGTTTAAGGATATGAAGATTCGCTTACTTTCTGGCATGAATTTAATACGAGGAAGTCAAACTTTCTGCAAAGTGGTCCCCCACTTTCACTTAATACCCCACTATAGACTACATGTGTATATTTCAGGCCTCTATGAATTTTTCTAGGGTCACTTGTCCTGCAGGACAAGTGACCCTTCAAATTTACAAGCCCTTCATAAAATGTACTTGCCCTGCATTTTGACGGATAAAATTTGTAAGAATTAAACATAAGACTCAAATTAACTATTTACCCATCTATATCAGTATAATTAGCTTTGTTCATTTACATATTGCTAAATAATGTTTATAAAACTTTTCATTCTTTTAATATATATATTATCTTCAACATAACCTGACTACTTATTTCATTTATGCTATGCTAAAATATTGACCTCATGGCTAATAATAAAACATTACCCAATGTGTACTGTATATATATATAAAACATTGTCCAATGCTACTGTAGTTACGGCATTGATTCATCATATCCATTTGGTAGAGTTTTATACCTAGTCATAAGGTCAATTTCCAGTTTTCATTTGAAAGTATTAAGATTGAAATGGGGTCTGCAGTTTTCTTCATTTCTTAACAAAAAATTTCATTTATATTAAATTTAAATGTTTAGAGTTCGGTAAAGTTTGGATTTGGATTGGGAGAATCTTACTCGCCCTGTCGGATGAATCTGATAAAAAAAATTCTGGCCCGACCTAAACTTTCACTTGCAAACGCTAGCAGGCAAGTGGATTTGTCGAGGCCTGTATTTCAAAGGAAATGAAATAAAAACATTTAAAAATATATATATTGCTATACCTATCAGTGGAATTTTCAGTGTCATTTCTAGTTCAGGCTTCAGCTCTGCCATTTTTAATGTAACTCAATGATAATCAGTGGGGTATTCGGACCCATTAAGAAACAACTTTTCGGCTTAAGATTAATTGTCCAGGTGTTCTATTGAAAATGGAAGTGACTCAAGAAATATTGAATGACAACTTTAAAATGAAACATGTAAAATAGAAAATGAACAAACTTCCCTGTTCATAGGCTTTGCCTCCTTTCTTATTATTGTTTTTTTAATATTATAATGACATTGTAAAAATGTTGAATAAATGACTGAGAAATTGACATAAGTACACATCCCAATAATAAATACTGAAAATATTAAGCAGTAAAAATGATATGAAACTAGAGTGTATCCGAAATAAACTTGTATCCGAAAATCTGGTAAAGGAACAAATGTTAATTCACTACATTTAACTAACAGGAATGCTACAAGATATATGACAAACATAAAAACGGAATCTTTTTAACCGTAAAACACAACTTACGCTATCGATATCTATTTCGTCAATCAGTGAAGAAGAATTAGATCGCCAATTTCGCGACTAAATAAAATTTAAAGTTGTCTCCCTTTGTCAAAATTAAACTTGTGTTGTGAATGCAGGAAATGATTTAGTGGTCCTAGACCTACCGGACTGCATGCGCATGCGCGACGGTTTTCGCGGGACTGGAAAGTGCCCGGATAGTTCTAGGATAGAGAGAATTGAGTTCTGCGTTGGCTGGCGAAGAGTGAACATCAAGAACAAGCTTTGGTAAGCTCCCGGTCTGATTTCCCTTCTTTAGGCTATGATTTAAGGAAATACAACATTGGCGACGAGGATTAAAACTGGATAGCAGGGCAGTGACTTTTGCATGTCATAAACGTCGTTCATTTGTAGTCAATTTTCGCGACATTCTGGACCGTTGCATAAATTGGAAAATTGACTTTGACATTCAGTTGGCATTGTGAAATAACCACTCGACGATAGCCTAAAGGGTTGATGTACTAGTATTTTTTGATTTTGTGGCTTCTAGCTTTTATTTAAAAAATACTTGGTCAACATAAAGTTTGGGAAACTGCAGAATGGTATGCTTTTCATAAATAAATAATTCCACGCTAAATTCATAGTAAAGCACGCCCAGTATTGTCTTTTTATTTACTTTAGCCCTTTTCAGAAACGACTTTGAAGATATTAGAGACAGTGACAGCATAAAGACAGTGTGAAAGGTATACAAGTTATCTACCTTGAATATTTTATTTCAGTTGTTTACAAGTGTACCAGGATCACCAAATAAATTATTTCTTGTATTCTATATCAGAAATAATTGCGGATAATTAATTTATTGTACATTTTTTCAGAAATATTTTACAGAATTTCACATAAATTTTTGATTTAATTCTTGAATGTGAAGTAAAATAAATTAAAGCAGCTGTGTCAAAGTAAAGTCTATATTATTTAAAGGAGCTGTCTCAAGTATTCAGTAAATACATTTGATTTAAAGAACCTGTCTCATATAAGTCGATTAAATTTTTTAAAGTAACTTTTTAATTAATATTCGGTGTATTCTATACTCGAATAAGTAAATTAGTGGAATTTATTTTTTAAAAGCTACTTTTACATATATATTCGGTGTATTCTATACTCGAATAAATAAGCTTGGATCAATTTTCAATTGTATTCTATACATTGAAAATTTGTGATTACATTGTGTCCGCAATACATTGACTGACTTAAGTTACCATCATGTCAACATTTAATGTAAACACAATGACTAAAGAGGAGTTGATGAAATTGCCAGCTATTGGTGCGAAAAGGGCAACAAGTATAGTCCAGTTTCGACAAATGTATGGCAAGTTGACGAAAGATGATTTCATCACCATAATGGCAGGTCATCTTAACCCAGATATGTTGAAATACATTGATTTTTCAACACCGGTATCAACTCCGAGTACAATATCTTCAAGTGGGGGGGGGAAGTGGAAGTGTTGCTGTGACATTTACCACAAGTACCACGCCTGTTGCAGTAGTTTGCAAGCCAATTCATGTTGGTAGCAGTGCTACAACAACAATTACAGTAAGTAGTACAAGTACGCCTACTGTAACTAAAGGATCTAGACTTGCAGCTGGATTTACCTTGCGAACGCCAGTTACTAAAGCAGTTTCGAAGGTAATGACTACATCAACTACAACCAGCAGCGTGAAAACCAAGGTAATTACAGTTCCGGTTACCAAAATAACAACTGCTGTGACGGTTGCAGCTAGTAGCACATACACTACAGTGAGTGCAACCGGTGCAACACCAATTATGTCAGCCCCTACATCTTTAACAATACCAGAGATGGAGGCACCACAAGATACGCCACACATTGAAGATGTTTTGACTCAACTTCTTTCCTTAAGTCAGGGTATGACTAGAAGAGATTTAATAGACTTGATATCTGCATTACCAGAAGCAAATGCAAGTGATACGGATGAAGATTCTATTGCAATAGATACACCTTGTACTTATAGTACAGGTTATATGCACTATCAAATGGATCCTTGCAATACAGGTATACTTGGTTCTTCTAGAACAAGGTTTACAAGTACGGTAGATGATGTCAAGCCTAAATATTTCAGTAACAGTGCATCCAGGTCATACAACACTAAATTGGACACAAGGTATGGCAACCCTAAATGTATATCTCCTAAGAAAGAATATACATCTGCTACTTATGTATATGGAGATACACAACAACAGTCGAGGTCAACTAAAGGGTCTTCTAGACATTTAGATAGATATGAATGCCAGAAGAAAGGTTCAAGAAGAGACCATCGAAGTTACCATACCAGATCAGAAATGTCAAGTGAAAGTAGCGATAATAGTAGAAGCAGATCAATCGGTAGAAGAGATGTTCAGTCCAGATACAGTGGTGATGGTAGAAAGAATCGGGACAAGATTGGTTACAGCAATCGGTCTTCTTCTAGAAACCGTTTGTCGAGAGATGACAAGTACAGTCGTAGATCACGGTCGTCTTCTAGACACCAAAGATCAAAATCCAGAAGTCCGAGCTTTTCAAGGTCAAGATCATACAGATATAGGAATAAATCTTCAAGCAGCAGCAGTAGCTCGAGATCTCGATCAAGAGGCTATGGTCATTCAGGGTCAAGACGTCATAAGTACGGGTCCCATGATAAGTATTGCAAGCCATCTAGACGACATGACAGAAGTCGCTCTTCGAGTTATTCTGATCGAAGCAAGTTAGAAAAGAGGGGTAACCCGAAGGAACTTCCAAGTATTTTGCGGTATGATGGGAAGACAAGCTGGTTATCTTTTAAAGAACAATTTGAAAGTTATCGAGCTGTTTCGAACTGGACTGACAGTGAAAGTAAAGATTACCTTACTTGGAGTCTTCAAGGTAAAGCGTTAGATTTCTTCACGATAACAAATAAAGCGGGGCATTGCTATTCATATAAGCAAATGATGAAGAAATTAGAGACCAGATTCGGCGACCAGGAACTTACCGAGACGTCACGTGTTAAGTTCCAGCAGGCTAGACAAGCATCAGATGAATCTTTAGATGATTGGGCAGATCGAGTGCTGACACTTTCGACATATGCATTTAAGGATCTACCCGAAGAATACAGAATGCGAGAGGCAATTTCGAAGTTCTGCCAAGGATGTATTGATAGAGAAGCAGGAAAGCATGCATGTTTCGAACATCCTAGGAGTATACAGGCTGCACTTAACGCTGTGAAGCATCACCAGTATATCTCTGAGGCAGTTGATGGCAAAAAGCATTCTAGAAGATCTAAAGATGATGTGTCAATTAATGCAGTAAATACATCAGCTGAAGCCAGGGTGGAACAATTGCTGAACAAAGCTATGGAACAGCTTAGCAGTAAAATTCAGCAATTGACTACAACCAATAAAGAAACTGAATCTAGGACAGGAAGAGGGCTATCATGTTTCTTTTGCAAACAAAGGGGCCACATTAAGAAAGACTGTCCAGGATTTAAAGAATGGTTGAAGAAAAAGGGGCTATCTAACACTACGGAACAACAACGAAATCCAGCAAATCGTGATTTAAACAAGAAAGGGCTGAATGGAATGGCCAACCGTTCAAGCCCGCAGAAGTAACTGGTCAAAATGGTAAAGATTCTGCGACTTCTAGTCCGGAAGCTGATGTCATCTGTGAAGAACAACCAGTTACAGATCACGAAGATGTTATTAGCCTTCGTAAAGGTGACAAGACTTCTAGTCAAGGTCATCAAAGATCATCTAAACACCCTATAGTTACTGCAACAATTAAATCTGATGAAAAAGACCATACAGATGGCATGACTTCTAGTCATGTTAATGAAAGTGAAGATATTTTGAAAGATGGTAATACAGTCAAATTAAATTTAGGTATCCAAGAAACACAGAATGACGGAATTGTCAGCGTTCATCAAGTGCGAGCTGGTTCTTCTTTTGTGTTACTGACAGTCGGTGATCAAGAAGTCAAAGCAAGAATTGACTCTGGTGCTGAAATTACCATACTCTCTTCAAAAGTCTTCGCTACCTTGAGCAAAAAGCCTGCAAAAGTAAAAGATGTAGTTATGCAAATGGCAGATCAAGAAGCAGTACTAAAAGGCTTTATCACTAAACCATTAAGATTGCAACTTGGATCTCAAGTATTTCATGAAAGAGTTTATGTTGCACCTATTAGTGATGAAATGCTGCTTGGACATGATATAATGCATCATTTAGGAGTTATGATGGATATGCATTCAGACACTTTAATTGTGAATGGTGAGCAGATTCCCATGAATACAAGCTTTAGAGAGGGAAAGCTGACCATTGCAAGAGTTTCAGTGGCAAAACGTACTGTGGTTCCGCCAAATTCAGTTGTTCGGATGTCATGCAGTCTCAACACACATCTGAGTGACTATTTTATAGAACCAGATGAAAAGTTGAATACAGTTGGTATATTGATGCCAAGGACATTGATGTCTTCAGATACGGAGCCAATTGTTTGTTTAGTCAATCCAACTGACTCTTACAAGACATTCAAGAAGGGTAAAGTGATTGCAAATGCATATGAAGTAGACAATATCCTAGATGAGCAAAGCGAAGTTGCTACATCTCTGCCTAAAGAAAATGAAGTGACTTCTAGTCATTCTAAAACAACATCGTCTAAATCTCGAAGGATTTCTAGTTCTACGAGATTAAGAGTTAGAACAGTCGCCGAACAGTTGTGTGAATCATTAGAGACTCCAACAGAAGTAGTTCCAGATCATCTGCTAAAGTTGTATCAAGCTTCTACTGAACATCTTAATCAAGGGCAAAGTAAGAAGTTAGCTAAACTCCTTAGCGATTATGAAGATGTTTTCGCTAAGAGTGATTTCGATTTGGGAAGCTTTACTACAATAGAGCATACCATAGACACCGGAGATGCAAAACCCATAAAACAACGCATGAGGCGCACACCAGCTTGTTTTGTTGGGGAGGAAGAGAAGAGCATCTGAAGAAAATGGTGGATGCCGGTGTCATACAGGAGTCTGTATCAGAATGGGCGTCCTCTCCAGTTCTGATCAGAAAGCGTGACGGATCTGTAAGATGGTGTATAGATTACAGAGCCCT